ATCTTAGCTGTAGAGGGCAGTGTCACTGGCCCTCATATGTGGGATCCGAACCGGGGCCTTCTGGCGTCCCAAGCCAGTTCGTCACCATCGCGCCACTCGGCTGGCCCTACTGCCCTTTTCTTGATATAAGCAGCAGTAGACCAGGCAAAGGCCTAGGCTGGAAGAGATGGCCATGAACTCTTTCAGGGCCAGCGTTTCCCCTCCTCTCTCCTCTCACCCTCCCTAAGCTGGTCCCATTAACAGGAGTTAAAGTCACTGAAGCTTCCCACATAAGAGAGGGTAAACAGGACAGACCCCTTCCTATACGGTGAATCTCGCTTTCCCAGGTCCCCTGCCTTCAGACTCAACACACATACATAAGAACCTACTACGTGCTAAACACTTTCATAGACATTGCCCTATTGTATCCACCCCACAACCAGTCCAGCACTACGATGAATATTACAGGCTCTGTCACATTCATGTTTTTCTCATCCATAAAATGGGGATAATGGTAGTAACTGTCGCATGAGGTTGTCTTGAGGATTAAATGAAGTAAGAGGCTTAGCCCTGTGCCCAGCACTTCGTGTGCATTTCATAAATGCCAGCTGCTGGTGTCGTCTTTATTGTTTACATTTAGGTAAGTCAAATTATTCTCATTTTAGAGATAAAGAAATTGAAGTTCTGATGGCTTGGGCAGAAAGGTCACCCTGCCGTATGTGGCCTCAGTCAGCATCCCTCCCCACTATGAAGTCCATGTGCCGCAGAAGGAGCTTTTGCCTCCTAAGAAAGCACATAGTAGGTGGGCAGGGATGGGTTCAGCCAGCAGAGAGGCGGGAATTCATAAACATCTTCTCCATCCTTGGTTGAAATTATTGACTCTGGGCAAGTTACTTCTTAGACATCTTGATTGACTATCTCTAAAGTATAGGTGAGGACGCCAACTTCAGATGGTGTTAAGAAGTGAACGAGAGGCAATAACAAGTGTTGGCAATGATGTGGAATAATTAGACCACTCAAACATTGCTAGTGGGAATGTAAGATGGTTCAGCCACTTTGGAAAACATCTTGGCAGTTCTTCAAAAACTTAAACAGAGAATTACCATATGACCCAGCTATTCCACTCCTAGCTATACACTTAAGAGAACTGACACCATATGTCCGCTTGAAAATTTGTATACAAGTGTTCACAGCAGCATTCTTCACAATAACCAAAAAGTGGAAACAACACAAATGTCCATCGACAGTTGAATGGATAAACAAAATATGGCATAGTCATACAACGGACTATTACTCGGCCATGAAAAGGAAATCTGGAAGACATTATACTAAGTGAAAGAAGCCAGACTTAAAGGCCACATATTGTATAACTCTATTTATATTAAAAGTCCAAATAAGCAAATTCATAGAGACAGAAAACAGATTATTGGTGGCCTAGGGCTGGGGGAAGGAAGGAAGAGAGAGTGGCTGCTAATGGGCATGGGATTTCTTTTGGGGGTGATGAAAATGTCTTGGCATTATTACACAGTGGTAATGGTTGCCCAACTTTGTGAATATACTAAGAAACCACCGAACTGTGTGCTTTAAAACGGTGACTTTTCTGGAATGTGAATTATAGCTCAATGAAAAGAAAACTAAGAAGTAAAGGAGAGCAGTGATAGACAGCGAGCACAGTCTCTGGTGCTCACTTCCCGCTGTCTAATAAATTGGGCGGTTTGTTAGAAGGCTGGGGGTGGGGTCCAGGAGCCCATCTGCTCACCCTGTTCCCACTTCCTGCAGCTCACATTGCTGAGGAAACCTCGGATCTTCTTCAGCATGTGAAATTCCAGTCCAGCAACTTCGAAAACATCCTGACTTGGGACAGCGGGCCGGAGAGCGCTCCAGACACGGTCTACAGTGTCGAGTATAAGATGTATGCTTCCCTCCCAACACGAGCTCGTCTCACTCTGCTCCGAAAACAACCGCCTCCAAGAAAATGCCCCCTTTCCTTGTGGCCCCACACCCCTCACCCAGACGGGTGTTACGCAGCACCGCCACCCCAGATATAGCCCTGCTCTTTTATGTCTCTTTTGCAGAGAGAGGATAAAATAATGGTTAAAAGTGCAGGCTCTAGAGTCAGATTGCCCAGGCTTGAACACCAGCTCTCACCTATATAACCTTGGCAATTGGGTAACCACGCCAAGCCTCAGTTTCCCCATCCATAAAGATAGCGATAGTACCTTCATCATAAGATTGTTAGGTGGATTAAATAAGACAGTCATTGACACTGGTGCCTGGCGAATAATTGTTTTATTATTATTGATGAGGTGAGGCCGACAAAAAGTTGTGCCTACCCCCTCCAGCCCATGCTCCCGTTCCCGTGCAGGGGAGGAGGGCAGGCATAAGCTCGGTAGTCTGAAGACCTGTGTTTCATTCCTGGTCCTGCCCCTTCATTCTGTGACAAGTCACATCCCCTCTCTGAACTTCAGTTCCCTCATCTGTAAAGTGGGGATGACAGTACTCGCCTCCAAGAGTTAGAGTGGCGATGAGCCCAGAGTGTGGACTCAGGACTGGCTGGGCTCGCATCCTGGCTCCCCACGGGCAGGCTTCAACCACCTGGGCAAATGTTACTTCTAAGCCTCAGCTTCCTTATTTGAAGAGAAGGGAGAATAATAATGCATGAACTTCACAGGATCCATGTGAGGACTAACAGATCATACACATAAAAGGCCTGGGACCCAGAACGTGCTAAGTAAATATTTGATATCGTTATCATTATTAATAAACCACAGGCCTGATGCCAGGCCTGTTCATTAAAGGTGCACTCCAGCCCTTCCCTTACCTTCAGGTATGGAGAGATAGAGTGGCTGGCGAAGAAGGGCTGCCAGCGGATCACCAGGAAATCCTGCAACCTCACCATGGAGACAGGCAACCTCACGGAGCAGTACTATGCCAGGGTCACCGCCATCAGCGGGGGAGTCCGGTCAGCCCCCAAGATGACCGACCGGTTCAGCTCACTGCAAGACAGTGAGTAGGAGCCCCTGTTCTTCCAGGGGAGAGAAGACGGGTGGCCCAGAAGGGCTCTGCCTCTGGGGATTGGGGGGTGGGGTTAGAGATGTGGCTTTCAGGGAAGGCATCCTGACTGGAGAACATCCCAGTGCAGTTGTTCATCTTTGTTCATCTCCATCCTGACCTCCCTAGTTCAGACCACCTTCATCTTCTCTCTACTACAACCAAGGCCTCCAAACGTGGTCCCCCCATTTCTCCTTTGACTCTTTTCCAATCCTTCATCCGGTCTCAGCTTCAACATCACCTCCTAAGTGAGTGTCCACACTCCCAGCCCTTAACTTGATTTCACTAGATCACCAGCTCATAGTCTCTGTCGCAATCAAGTGTTCATTGTCTTCATGGCTCATATCCCAATCTGCAGTGATTGTGTTTGCTTATTTGTATATCATCTGCCTTCCGCACTGACATGTGAGCTCAGTGAGGGCGTGTATGGGTGCAGAACCCACTGTGTTCCCAAGCCCTTAGCATAGCGCCTGGCACATAGGAGATACTCAATGCATAATTTATGAATGAATGAATGAATGAATGAGCAAATGAATGAATAAATGAATGAATATGCATTGTCAAACTCCCCTTACAAGTTAAGCAGGTGATGATATTCACTAACTGACTTAACAGCCACGTGTTTTTTTAAGAAAAAAAATTTAACAAGCTCTTTTATTTTTTCCTGTCTTGTTCAATTCATATATGTTTCTTGTAGAAATTTTGGAAACTATAGACATAATGCAAAGGAAAATAAAAGCTGCCCCAAATAACCTGAACACTTAAACATAACCACAGTTACTAGAAACTGTATGCACCCTTTTGTAATCTGGCTGTTTTTCATATCATGGTATCATGAACATTTGCTCCTGTCCATTAAATATTTTTCCATAGTATGATGTTTCACAGCTAAAACTGATCCTTTCTATAGAGGTACTCTAATTTACTTCCCTAATTCACTTTTGAAGACGTTTTAACTCAGTTTTTTAATTTTATAAACAACATGGAAGTGAACATTCTTTCAGCTCAGACGTTTTTTATCTTGAAGGTCAATGGACCCTTGAGGGTTTTAATAAACTAACTTTAAGGGGAGTGGGGTTCATGAATCCTTGAAATTGAGGGCAATGTTTTTGTATATGTACATTTTGGAGGACAGAAGAGTCATAGCATTTATTCAATTACCAAAGGGGTCAGTAAACCAGTAAATGTCATTTGGTTATTATTTGGAAAGTTTCACCTGAAGAAAGATTAAACTCTTAGGCCTGATCGTCAAGGCTGAATCAATAATATTGAGTTCCCCAAATATTATTTAGGATATGTTGTTGAGCCATCATCAATCCCCAAAGCTATCATTGCCAATAGGCTAATGGGATGGGTGCTTCAGGCAGACTCAATCAAGGTGGGGGTGGACAGACTGGGATGTGTGGGGGCTGGGCCAAGGGCATGGTCAACTTAGGGGGACAGCATCCCTTTCCCTGTTCTAGAAGTTACTGTCTCTCAAACAAATTTCATCTCACCGCACACAGAAAAGCTTGTTAGACTAGTTGGACTGTCTACTGCATTAGCGAATGCCCGAGACCTTGCCTCCTGGCTCAATATTCGTCAGGTGTGTGGATGAAGAACTCCCTGGGTTCTTCCTACTCACCCTGGGTCATCCGTTTGCCAGACTTAAATCCAAATACCAGCTGCTTGCAGAACTTCTCTCTTCTTGCCTGTTTGTTTAGCTGATGCTTTCAGGAGCATAGTTGGGCTGGGGTGGGAGGAGCAGGGAAGCAGTCATTTCCCATGGACAGCCCCATACACTACTGACCGATTCCAACTTTTTCTTTTCTTTTTTTCTGTCTTCCTTTTTCTAGCTACAATCAAACCACCTGACGTGACCTGTATCCCCAAGGTGAGATCCATCCAGATGATTGTCCATCCCACCTACACACCCATTCATGCAGAGGACGGCCACCAGCTAACCCTGGAGGACATCTTCCATGACCTGTTCTACCACTTAGAACTCCGCCTCAACCACACGTACCACATGGTAAATAGATGTGCCACCCTGGTCCTCCCCTACCCGGGAAATCATTTCCCTCTCAATTAGATCTGCATTGTTTTCAGTAGAAAGGAGGCAGTTATGTAAATTAGCATTTCCCCAAACATGTCCACAGCTTCTCTCTAGTAGATTCACATCCACAATAGCACACTAAAGTCTTTGACAAGTCCTGCAAAGGCTCTAGTTTCAATTTATTTAATACAACTTCTCTCGAATTTATTTGATCAGAGAAACTCCTTTTATTTTGCACTATATATATATATTTTTTTTTACTTGATTTTTTGCCTAATGGCTTCTAACATCCTGGGGAACAACCTCTATTAACATAACATCCTCAGGTGTCCGTTTTGGAAAATGCAGGAATCAATTGCTACTGATGTAGTTCTTTTTGCTGGCTCTCCATTATTTATGGGAATTTATGGATATAGGCAGTGTCTTAAGATCAGTAATAATAAAAGGTGGGTGGCGAGGGCGTAAGTTGTCAAACAACATACAAGTTATATCTTTTTGTATTCAGAAAATATGTGGGATTTCCGCTCCAGCATGTGCCACTAATCCATAATTCCATTGAATGACTATTCCCACTCTCAAGGAGTTTATAACCTAGTGGGTTGGCGGGAATTAAAACAAGAATTCAGGGCCGGCCGAGTGGCGCAATGGTGAAGAACTGGCTTGGGACGCCAGAGGGCCCCGGTTCGGATCCCACATATGAGGGCCAGTGACACTGCCCTCTACAGCTAAGATGCTGAACAACAGCTCAANCACACACACACACACACACACGTGTGCATTTCCACAGGGGTGGAGGTTTATCCATTTCACTGAGCACAGAGGAGGAAGGACAAACTGAAGCCTTGGACTGGGCAAGACTGCAGCCCAAGGCCAGTTCCCAGGAAAATGCCCAGACCAAGGCTGAAGTGCTTTCTGGAACCCAGCTGAGCTGCTTCATGAAGGTGATTTAGAAAAAAGAAAAGCTGTCATCACTGTGGTCTTCGGCTTGTCTGAAGGAACTGCTTCATCTCTATTCTTAAACCTTGTTACTTTTTAAGCTTTTTCTTTTTTTCCAAAGTTTAATTTCAGAGGTAAGCTGAGCTTTTTAGTAATTCTAAATTCCAGCTCCTTTATGGTCATTGTCATTAAAAAACTGGGAAACATTAGGAAAACAGGGTAACCAATGTAACAATGTGTCGGGTGTGCTTGGCACTTAACTGTTTACAGAGCCAGGAACTGCAGGGCCTGAGCTCCAGGACCACGCTGAGGGATGTCAGGTCAAGAATGCCTGATGCCTTAGGTTAAAGCAACGTTACGATTCTTCAGAGCACAGTTGACTCGAGTAATGTGGGGTTTAGGGGCACTGACCCCCCCCCACAGTCAAAACTTTTGACTCCCCAAAAACTTCAGTCCTACCTCAGTTTCCACAGGGGAATTGGTTCCAGGACCCCCTGTGGATACCAAAATCCATGCATGCTCAAGTCCCTTATATAAAATGGTGTAGATCGATGCATAACGTCAGCCTTACGTATCCGTGGATTCCCAACCACAGATCACAAATACTATTTTCAATCCGCAGTTGGTTGAATCTGCGGATGCAAAACCCAGGGATAATTGAGGGCTGACTGTTGAAAAACATCTGCGTGTAAGTGGACCTGTGCAGTTCAAAGGTCAGATGTACAGAGAAGATTATATATTGTTCTTAGATATTTGTATTTATTTCCAATTTTGTTCTATGTTTATATCATACTTAAATAATTTTTTAATGCTCGTCGGTATCTACCCTAAACTTTTAAATAAAGAGCTCTATTTTTAGAGAAAAAGGCAAAACTGAAAGGAAAAGTGTGCGCTCTTATTCCTCCATGGCTTCTCACCACTCATCTAGGTGTTGAGACCACAAGGGTCTTGGGTTGGGTCCCCAGCGGCTGACCCAGAGACCAGGATTTGGGAGTACAAAGCAGTGCCGTGATTCCAGAAAGCACCAATAGAGGAGGAGGAAGCCAGACAGGGAAGGCAGCCTGTCCAGGTGCATAATCAAACAGGTCGCTGCCCCAGGCAACCGAGCCCCCCCCCCAGGGGCTTTGGGAATTCAGTGTTGGACCGTCCAGATTTGTTCTGCCGGGGGCCGGAGCTGGGGAATTGATGTACTAGCTCCCATTAGTCCTGTGTACAGGGCCACTCCCCACTGCAGAGTTGCAGGTACACTTCCAGTTGGAATCCATCAAGGTGAGTGCATGAGAAAGGAGAGTACCATAGGGGTGTGGGTAGGACTCCCATGTCACCTGCTACAATGAGGCCAGAGCTGCACCCACCATCCTGGCAGCTCACCCTAGAGCAACTATGGTCTGTGGAAGGTTACACAACATCCTCCGAGGCTGACCTTGCAAACCCAAACTCATTCCAGTAGATTTCTAAGGAGGAGCATCTCCCAGCTTCCAGCAATTCTGTCAGGGCCACCTGGTAACTGCCCAGCACTGTTCTTGCAGATTTGTCACCATTTACTGGTCCCAACGCAGGCGCTGGACCCCAGGTGAGCTGATCCAAGCCCCTTTCCCTGGAATGCAGAAGTCTTGCCTGGCTGGACCTGGAATATGGAAGTGTCGAGCTACGACTGTCCCATTTTCCACTCCGAGGAACAGGGAAAGCCCAGAGTGCAGAAGAGACAAGAATGAGACTGCCGCATGAGCTGCTGAGATGAGAAATGTTAAACCCTGGTTCCGATCCATTCCAGCGGCCCAGCGGCAGCCCTGTTCTCGGTTTCCCTGAATCCTAGTTTTAAGCCGTCTCCCAGGGCCTCCTATTACTTATACCCAAGTATCCTTGCCAATTCCCATTATGTGCATATCGCAGCTTGTGGTCAGGTTGGGGCTTCTGCCCCCTGGAATGGATGTGCAGTAGGTCCTTTCCAGAACACAGGGCAGAACCTGCCTCCCACCCTGCCATCCCAGGCCAGGTCAACTTTTGAGCTGCTCTTGGCCTGTTTGCCGCCACCTGCTGGACAGGGGTGGGATGGGCGCGCTGCCCGATGGCACAGGTTCTTACCAAAACAGTGCTCAGGGCAACTGGGAGAAGGGAGGGTTAGGGTGATGGATGTCACATCCGGAGAGCACCTTTAGGGAAGGGACTGCTTTCTTCCCGGCACTAGCACCTGGCACAGGGTGGAAGCTTAGTATTGAATAAATGAATGAGTGAATTGATGTACGAATTGGAGTCAGTAAGGGACNACAAAGCTCCAGGACCTGCAGGGAAATCCCACTAACTGAGTGACAACCTGTGTATTAGACACATCTGCACCTTCCCCCATCCCTCCACCTTCCCATTTATGTGGAAAGTCGCCAGCTCGACTTCCAGGATCCAGCACCTGCATCCTGGGGGCCCTCTCTGGCCTCTTGTGTCCACTCTGCCCATGCATGTGGCCGGCTGCAAGTGTCAGGGAAGCAGCACCTCCGCCACCCCCTCCACCCCTCACCTGATGGTGCTTTGAGGTGTGTGCGCCACACTGGCTCCCTGAGTCCCCAGCGGGGTTAAGCTCCAGCTGCTTTAGGGGTAACTTGCCTGATAACACTCATCCTACTGGCTGCTCCCCCAGCCCCTGTCTAATTTGCCCACTTCCTTGTTGGTATTTCCTGGGATCACTTCCCAAAGAGACTCGTTACATCTGCATCCTTGTCTCAGGGTCTGTGTCCCAGGGAACCCAAATTCCAACAGTCACGCTTCAGAAAAGCCTAAACTTCCTGTTTTTCCCTCCCCTCCCCAAATCAGGACTTTTCTGGACACAAACGTCCCGTGGCAACCTTTGAGCCCAGTGGCCCAGAGTCGCTGGATGACTTGACCCTCTGTCCTCAAAAGGAGGTGACCAGAAGGGTCAGGCTGACCCCTAGAGTCAGGGCCCCAGCCACCATCCAGGCAGAATCCGAGGACAGTGCTGAGGAAGATGTCGACACAGACAACACCATCAGCTTCCAGCCCTACATCAAACCCTCCCGCTTCCTGGAGCAGGAGCACCAGACCCTGGAGCACTCTGAGGCAGGGGTCCAGGTCATAGGCTCCCCTGCCTGGGACTCTTCAGACAGAAGCTGGGCTAGCACTGTGAGCTCCTCCACCTGGGAGGAGGCCGGGTCCTCTGGCTATTTGGTCAAGAAGGGGCCAGGCCAAGGGCTGAGTAGGGACGAGTGTGAGGAGCCTCCCCTAGTCCCCGAATTCTCCAAGGACTTGGGTTCCCTGGAAGAGCCCCCAAAAGACGACCTCTCCTCCTGGGCCAGCTGGGGCTCCTTAGCACCAAGGCCCCTAGTTTCCCTTCGGACACTGACCTTCTGGGACAGCAGCCCTGACGAGGAGGAGGAGGAGGAGGAGGAAGAAGAGGAGGAAGAAGAGGGTGAGAGGGAATCAGAAATTGAGGACAGCAGTACCAGCAGCTGCGGGGCTGACAGCCTCCAGAGGACCGAGGCCGGGGGTAGGACACTGGGGCATTATATGGCCAGGTGAGCTGTCCTCCGGCTTCCTGCCGAATCTGGTGCTACTGAGCTTCTCACGGACCCAAGACACCACTGAGACTTGAAAACCTGGAGCTTCGTCACTGGGGTGGCAGAGGGCTCTTGCAGCTAATGGAGGCTGTGTGTCAGTTAGGTTGAGCAGTAAGAAGCCACACCATCCTATGACCCACCAGCTTTGGGCTGGGCTCAAAGGACTAGACAAAAGGATGGGCTGCCCACTGTCCCACTGTCCCTGGGTGACAGGCCAGGTAGAAAAAGCATCCCTGGACCACATGAAACAGGTGAGGTCAGATCGTAGTGGCCATCAAGGGTTGACACCACATTGGGGCCATCTGGACTGAGGGGAGGAAGTTTGGAGGAACAGCTGAATCAGTTTCCTGCCTTTCTCCAGNCCCCCAATTCCCCAGCACTGTTTCCATCCCCCCAATTCCCCAATAAAAATCTTTAAAAACAAACAAACAAACAAACAAAAACCCAAGAATTCAAACAGGTAGAGGAAAATAAGGGTATTGTGTTGGGCACAGTGGAGGCAGGGAAGGGAGAGGGGCCATGTCAGTTCAGAGAGATTTGGAAACTTTGTGATGCCAATACCAGTTTCTGAGGTGTGCCACATAATGTATGCTTATTACGTCACTTAATCTTCACCAAAACCCTGTGAGGTGCTATTATCTTCATTTTCTGAATGAGAAAACAGGCTTAGAGAGGTTAAGTCACTTATTCAAGGTTATTCAGCAAATAATAGCATTATTATTATTACTAGCAAGATTCAAGCCCAGTTCAAAGCCCACATTTCCACCCCACCCCTCACCCCCACTGGCCTATACTGCCCCACCATGATCACAGAGAGAAGCAGGAAAACTTAGGACATCGTTGGAAAACACAAAACTGCCCAGTTTGACTAGAACATAGGAACACACAGAACAATTTCACAAAACACAGTCCCAAACCAGTGGCATCAGAATCCCCTGCAGCGTTTGTTAAAACTACAGGTTCTTCGACTCCCTTCCAATCTACGTAATCAAATTCTACAGCTGTACTCCTGGGCTCTGAATCTTAGAGAGCAGCCCAAGTACTTCTTACCCACCCTGAAGTTTGAGAGCCACGGATGGAGAGGAACCATGGGAGATAAACTCAAGAAGCCAGGCTGGGGCTATACTCTAGGGATCTGGGATTGCGAATGGAAGAAATCACCGTTTCTTTCAACAGTCAGGGGGAGGAATTCAAGATTATTGAGCAGGGAGGGTCCTTACCACAACTATTTTTGGTAAATATTCGGGGTTTTACTGAATATTTTGTTGTTAATTCTATAATTTAATTCAGGTTGTGGTCAGAAAAATACTCCATATGATTTCAGTTCTTATAAATTTATGGAGACTTGTTTTCTGGCTCAGTATATGGCCTATCTTGGTGAATGTGCACTTGAAAAGAATACGTATCTTGTAGTTGTTTGGTGGAGTGTGCTATAAATATAGATTAGATCAAGGTGACTAAATGTGTTATTCAGATCTTCTATGTCTTTTCTGATTTGGGGGAGGTCTATTGTTCTTTTCATTGCTGAGAGTGTCATAATCTCCAACTACAACTGTGGATTTACCTATCTTCCCCTTTAATTCTGTGCATATTTGAAACTCTTTTATCAGGCACGTATACATTCATGATTGCCATAGCCTCCTGATAAATTGTTGTTGCTGGTGGTGGTGGTGACGGTGGTGATAGTAGTAATGGTGATAACAGCAGCTAGTATTTATTCTCTGCTTCCTATGTGCCAGACACTGTTCTAAGTGAGAGTACATGGAGCTTGGTGGCTGACTGGATTTGGGAGTAAAGCAGAGGCAGGAGGATGGGAATGGAGTACTGTAGACTGATCCAGCAGTTTCTGGTTTGGGTACCTGGCGGAACCATTTCACTAACCTGGCATAGTAACCCTGGCATAGGCGTAAGAAGGCTTGCTTGGGCTCCATATGGAGACTGGCTTGTAAGAGGATTCACTCTGGGTTCTCTATTAAATTCAGCACCTTGAAGGGAAGCAGAGAGAATACGAGTTCGTTGGCCTGACCCCTGACACGGAGTTCGTTGGAACCATCATAATTTATGTTCGAACGTGGTTCAAAGAGAGTGCCCCCTACGTGTGCCGAGTGAAGACACTGCCAGGTAAGTTTGGCTGAAACCAGAGGGAGGTAGGATTCCTGAATTCAAGTCTTGACTGTGTGCTTTCCTCCCTGTAACCAAGGTGAGGCTTGGCAGTGCTCTGAGAAACTACAGAAGGGTTATTAAAGTCAATCTTTGTTTATCCATAAATGCATTAGCTGGTGGGTTATCACAGCACATGTTTAATCTCTACCTTCCAGCCTATGTCCGGATTTCCTCTCTCTGGCAACCTTAGTATGTACCCTGACAAAGCAACTTCACCTTAATATTAACCCAGGTGAGATATACTGGGAAATAATCTACAGGGGGGATAACAGAGAAGATAAGAAGATCCCTCAATATCTTCCAAAGTCAAATAATAATAACAGTGATGAGAGCTAGCATTTGTGCATTGCTAACCAGGCACCAGGCACTACTAAGTGCAATCTTCATGAGCAGCTATGAGTCAGGTACTATTATCATCCTCATTTTACAGATGAGGAAACAGGTTCAGAGTGGTTAATTAACTTGCCTAAGGTCACACAGGTGGTGAGGAATAGAACTAGGCCTAATTCTGGAGACCACATTCTCACTATTGTGCTACTATAGAAATAATTTTGAGTCATCAGGTCAGTGAGATGATGTCCCATGCTCCTTTCCTCTGGCACATTGAAACTCGACCCTCATCATAAGCATTGTGATATTTTTATTAGAGTTTATTGTCATAGACAGATAGAAATGCTCAGAGAAACAAGTTTCGAGGATTAAAGTGATAGCAGTAGGCTTGATAGGTCTCTACCTTAGTCATCTTGTTTAGATTAATGATGTCAGTAGGTGATCTCTGTTCTAATGAACAGAGGTGAGGTGGCTGCGAGGCTGGGCCCGAGAGTACAACTGCAGGTTGGTAGAAACATCATCAGGTAGGTTCTGGTTCTCAGTTTTGTTCACAAACTCAACTCGTCAATTGCCCCAAGAGTCTGAGAGAGACTGATTTTTCCATGAGGGGTCCAGTGCATTAATTTTCAGGGGAAGATATGCCTGGTGGAACGGCCAGCGCTGGCCCACTGCACGGGGCATGCCCGTCCTGTAGATAGGGCCACTGGGGAGGCCAGGCTAGAGCTTGGCAAGAGGAGAACTAGAAAAAGGGAACCAACGTACTGGGAGCATATAGATGATTCATGACCCTCTCCCCTGGACCGAACTAGATGAATCTCACCCATTCGTGGCCCACCCCTGCCCCACCCAGCTTTTTGACAACATGCAGACCACTCATGATGTGATACCATTTTTTTTCTAAGACTGGAGCTGCTTTTATATAAATCACACTTCTAGTTGGCTATTTCCTGCTGACATATAGAAGGCCCCTTATCCTCAAAAATAAAGCATGTTAATAAAAATTCCTACTATTTATTAAGTACTTACTCTGTTGCCAAGCACTGTGTTAAATGCTTTACCTATATTTTCCCATTTAGCCTTTATAACAACACTGCAAATTGGTAGCACCATCCCCATTTTACAGAGAAGGAACTCTGGCTCCCAGAGGTTAAGCAACTTGCTGGTAACCAGACAGCTGGTCAGTGAACCTAGTTGGGTTCATCTGATCCTGAAGCTTAAGCTCTAACCACCACTTTGCAATTTTGTTTATAGCAAATCCCCTCTATTGCACATTTATTTCTCTAACTTCCATTGCAGACTGTTACGTCCTGCCCTTGACCCCATATTCTAGAGTCTATCCTACCCCCAGAGCCCAGAATCTCCACTTTATCTACCTCTCAGAGTAGCTGGGAGAGTCACAGAGCAACATCCCAGAATCTTGATGCTGGAGAGGGCTCTAGGGGTCATCTCACCCCATACCTAATTTTTACAGATGAGGAAACTGAGGCACCTTTGTGCAGTGTCTCTGAGGCTGAGCTTTGGAGTTGTACATGCCAACCCTGGCTTCTCCACTAACTGGCTGTGTGACCTTGGCCAAGGCACTTAACCTCTCTGAGAATCAGCTTCATTATCTGTAAGAAGGGAGCATCTCTGGCACTGTGTGTTTGGTGGGATAACATAGGTAGAGCACCCCGCACAGTGCATGGCACATTGTAAGAATTCACTAATTGCTAGCTACTGTTATTAATAAATGAGAGGGTTGTGCAGCAGAGAGAAGGGTGCTCAGCCTATCAGTGGCTGAGCCAGACATCTAATACCCCACACTCCAGTGTTATTTCTATTATTTCTTCCTGCCTCCCCAGAAGTGAGACAGCATATGGGAATGTTCCAAGTTCCTATCCTATCCTGGTACAAGAAGCAGTGGTTTTCCATTAGGCGTGTCATGTAGAGATATTCGGGTGTGTCTTCTCCCTGGAGCGGCGCTGGGAGTATCATGTTACAGGGGACAGGGTATCACTGCAGTGGGAAGATGACCCTTAGAGGCCTGAGCCATAGGGCTGGAGGAGGGAGCTAGAAGTAGAGGCTCCAGCAACTCGCAGCATTCACAGTGATTGCCAAGGTCATTGGCACCTGGTGATCCGTTGCCCAAGCTGAAGCCACACGGGGGCCACAAACAGGAGGGTGACTTGGAGAGTCAACACCCCTGGATAATACAAATGGCCAGTTTTAACAAAGAAAAAACTCCAATTGCCTCTTCCTTACCAAGCCCTTCACCGGTCTCACTTGGGCTGGTGACGGGAAGTGTGTCATATCAAGAACTGTGTGTGCCCATCCCAAAGATGCGGGACCATAGGGAGAAGGCTCAGCACCAAAGCCCCCAGTCGTCCCTCTCCTTCCCTTTTAGAAAGGGGGGTGCCCCCGGCTCCCTCCTGAGCAAGGTCTTCCCGGATACCCAGCCCCTTACCTTGGTAGGGAGGTGGGGAGGACAGAACCCTCCCATTGTCACTGCCCGCCCCCCACCAAGGAGTCAGGACTGTCCTCAGACCCAGACAAGAGGGACCCACTTTAGAAAACCCCGCTCCGGCCTTGCTCTGGCCATGGCCCTCCCCACAAAATGAAGAGTCCTCAGGTCCAAGTGGACAGGTCCCCCTGTGACCTCCCTTCCAGACCACACTCTGAGTACCCGGGACCCTAAAATTCCCTGTGGAAATGCCCTGAGCCTGTGTCCAGTCTAGGCAGATCTCTTTCTTGCACCCCTCCTCCTGAGGGGAGACACTCTGTTGATGTGCAGACCCTCGGCCCAAAGAGTGGGCAATAGGTAGCTATTTGTTGCGGGGCATGGATGAGCTTGGCCATGTGGCTGGGGCTTCCCTATCCATGTGTGTGAGGCCCCTGGCAGTGTGTGAGAGGGAGCCGGGTGGGCTAGGGGGCCCCCCGAGCCTTCACATTACAGCACAGTCCCCCCAACAAGTCCAAGAATTCAAAATTCAAACCTGGCCTTCCAGGTCATTATGAAAAGCACATTGTTTGCCAAGGTGGGAACATAGAACATATTTTACTTTGTGTGAAAACGTGATTTACAAATTCTGAATATTTAGCTATGTGGTGGGTGGCCCTGTCTTCGTGCTCTTGCCCCAGCCCTGCAAATATTCAGGGTAGGAGAGGCTTCCCAAGCCTGGCCCTGAGAGGGCAGGGGAGGAGAAGCCCAGAGTGTGCAGCATCCACACTTGGGATGGGCCCAGCCCGGATGCCAGCCTCACCCTTCCTGCTCAGGCCTCTTTGCTCACACAGACCGGACGTGGACCTACTCCTTCTCGGGTACCTTCCTGTTCTTCATGGGCTTTCTGGTGGCAGTTCTCTGCTACCTGAGCTACAGATACGTCACCAAGCCACCTACACCTCCCAACTCCCTGGTAAGCAACCGCACGTGGGGCAGGAGGGAGGGGAAGGCCCCAAAGCAGCGAGAACAGAGGCCCAGGGATCCCCAGCTCTCCCTGAAATGCAGTGATCATCACACGAAGCAGAAAGTTAGGCCTCAGGCCTCCCCTCCAACCTAAAGCCGACAAAGACGTGGCCCCACAGGGAGTGCTGAAGGGGGGCAGGTGATGGGGAAGAGTGGACTTGGAATAAAAATCCCACAGGGCTTTGAAGCGTCCACATGCAGGCCGGTAACATAGGACCCGAGAGAGCAGGCCAGGGAACGGGCCACTGTGGAGGCCAAAGAGTGGAACTCACATCCTGTCTGAAGGGCAGGCCAGTACTGCCCCCTGTGAATACAGGCCCAGTATGGCCAGATCTTCACATTTTTTTGAAAGAGAAGTCAGAATTTCAGATTGTAATGTGAAATCTCCCAATTTTCAAATGTTGGCAACTAATTTTTAAAACGCGAAGCCCTATGTAAACCACACAAGCCACATCACAGCCTCGATCTGGCCACCAGCACTGCATCTGCTCAAGCACCAGGGCCCCCTGCAGAGCATCATCCCAGCTGTTTGGGGCTCCAGTGTGGCTATCACCCATCTGAGAGGCTCCAGGGCATTTCACGCAATGTCACAGCCCAGATGAGCCATTTCCTGTAAAGCTCTCTTGGCCTCCCTTTGTCCCTCACCCTTTCCCACCTTGCCCCCTATATTAGGCCCTTAGGGACCTTTGAGTCCCTAAAGAGGAGCAGTGTGGGCTACCACCTCCAGAGGGTACTCCAAAGTGACCCCAAATCGGAGTCACCTACTTCTTGGATTATTTACCTCCTAGATAACCACAGCCAAAATCTCTCTCTCTGTCTCTCTCCTCTGAGATAACCCAGGCTTTAGGCGTAGCCCTCAACTAAAGGGCTGGCAGCCCTGTCCCTTTGCGAAGGCCCCAATATTTACAGAAATCTCTGAGAAGTAACAGGGATGTGTGGCATACGCACCATGAAAAAGCCCCCTATGGCCTATCCCCTCTGAATCCCCATGGAGGGCCTCACCCACCCACGGTACCTCGGGGAGCTGAGAACGGGCCCTAACGGTGGGTTGTTGTTGTCCCTGCACAGAATGTCCAGCGTGTACTGACCTTCCAGCCTCTGCGCTTCATCCAGGAGCACATCCTCGTCCCCGTCTTTGACCTCAATGGCCCCAGCAGCCTGGCCCAGCCTGTCCAGTACGCCCAAGTCATGGTCTCTGGGCCCAGGGAGACCCCAGGAGCCCCACCGCTGCACAGCCTATCTGAGATTGCCTACCTCGGGCAGTCGGAAATCTCTATTCTCCAGTCCCCTGGAGTGCCATCTCACCGGGCGCTCTCCCCACTGTCCTATGCTCCCCAGGCTGCCCCTGAGGTCAGACCCCCATCCTACACACCTCAAGTCACCCCTGAAGCTCAAGCCCCATTCTACACTCCACAGTCCATCTCTAAGGTCCAGCCGCCTTCCTACAACCCTCAAGCCACTCGGAACAGCTGGCCTCCTTCCTATGGGATGTGCGTGGAAAGCTCTGGCAAAGATTCCCCACCTGTGACATCCTCTAGTCCCAAATACCTCAGGCAAAAAGGTCAGCTCCAGAAAGAGGCACCGGCTGGACGCTGCACTGCAGGTGAACTTTCTCTGCAGGGGGTGGCCTGCTTGGCCACAGAGGAACTCCAAGAAGCAAAATCCCTCCACCAGCATTTGGGGGCTGACACAGACAGAGCACCTGACATTAATGTGCCACACAGAGGGGACCCAGGGACACCAGGGTACCTAAAGGGCCAGCTGCCTCTCCTCTCCTCTGTCCAGATCGAAGGTCACCCGGTGTCCCTCACTTTGGACACTCCTTCTCTCCCATGTTCACCTACGGACCAGGTTTCAAGTCCCTGGGGCCTGCTGGAGTCCCTTGTATGTCCCAAGGACAAAAGTCCAGTGTCTGAGACTGACGCCAAGAGCCCGGCCCTTCCAGGCTCACACCTGGAGCAGCCTGCAGAGCTGGACTCTCTTTTCAGAGGCTTGGCCTTGACCGTGCAGTGGGAATCCTGAGTAGAACACAGGGCAGGCCTGGGACTGCCTCCCGGTCTCCACTCCAATCTCACATCCTCGGCTGTCATTCCCAACCATGCTGCTCACACAGCCCAACCTCAGGCGGGAGCCCTTGAGAGAACCAGAGGATGCTGGGGCCCTGCCATGGCTGAGCTCCCGTTAGAGCAAAAAGGCACAGTGAGGACTCCAGCCAGGGGAGTTATGGGCATGCATTACATGCAAATGGGCGTGTGCGTGCAGAGCTCTGCAGGGCAGGACGGGACAGTCAGTGTGACGCATTAACACATGGTGACTTTGCAGAAATTCGGGGCCCAGCACCTAGCATGCTGGACACAAAGTTCTCCAGGAGCCGACCTCTCTCCACACCCTTCCCTGGTTGGTTTCATCATCTAACTCAACAAAGAGTGAGGTCTCTGCCTCCTCTGTGATTCCTCAGGTGAGTAAAGAATCCTGGAAATGAACACCTCATGGCAGGCTGGGCAGAACCAGAACAACCTGCTATCCTGCCAAGGTCAGAGGCAGCATGATGGGGAGACTCCAGGGAGGGGTGTGGCCTGGGCTCACTTCCAGCCAAGGCTACTGCCCGAAGTTGCACCATTTCAACTTCATTCCTCTGCTCAAGGCTGTATCCCAAGTGAAATGCAGGACTACTGGGGAGGGAGAGCACATACACCCTTTCTGCCGGCAGGAGTTTCAGATCCTACCCTGAGAGCAGAGCTTGAAAGGAATGTGGGGCAATGTGTTCCCTGAAGGAGACACAACAACAAACTGTACTTGCTTCACAACTTTGGAAACTCAGCCTTGGGCTCAGCCCATCATCTGAGTTCCAATTCCAGCCTCATCACTTACCAGCTGTGTGACTTCAAGCAAATAAATCACTGCTCAAAACCTCAGTTTCTTCATCTGTAAATGGGGATAATAAGTTAATCTACCTCATCGGGTGGTGGTGAGGATGAAATTAAATAACGTCTGTAAAGTGCTTAATAATGTCTGGTATAAGGGCAGTGCCCAATAAATGGTAGCTATTTCTTGTGATTTTTTTTTTAAGATTTTTATTGGGGAATTGGGGGGATGGGAACAG